TGGCCATTAGATTCTGCCATTTGCAAATAACTAATGGAGGCAGAACTTTAAATATTATAATAAAAAATTTTGGTAGAGGATGTCCAGAAAGTAGTACCAGAATTATTAAAGAGATAGAAAAATAAATAATGATGACCAAGGCAAAGGAAGACACTGAGAGGTGCATTAGAGTTTAAAGGCAACAAAGGTAAATACTTTTACATATACAATCTGCCATAACAGTAATAAACAGTAATCTGTGACTGGGTACATAAACATGCAAGCTAAACAGGTGTGGGAAGTTGAATGGGATTCTCCTCATGAAAACACAGAGATTTGGCAGAGAGAAATTTCTACTTATGTATCTGTATGTAAGGAGCTCTGGTAGTGTTTAAGACATTTGGCTGCTTGCCAATAAGTCGGTGGTTCAAACCCATCAACTGCTCCATGGAAGAAAGATGAAGCAGTGTGCTTCTGTAAAAATTTTAGAAACCCAGTTGGTGGTCTCTCTGAGTCAGAATTGATTTGATACCTGTGAGTTGTGCTGCAAATATATCCATGTATAAAGTAGAGCATACAAGGGGCAAAGTTAGGAAAACTACTTAGCCATAACCAAATACTGGACTTGGAAGCTTAGGATCATAGTGTCGGAGGACATCTTGGTCAATTTGTGAAACATGGTCCACAAATAGAGTGTTCTACATCTACTTTGGTGAGTAGTGACTTGGCTCTTAAAAGCTTGTGAGCTGCCATCTAAGATGCAACAATTGGTTTCTTCCTGTCCGGAACAAAGAACAGTGAAGAAAATTAAAGTCTCAAGGAAACAGTCAGTCCAGATGAACCATAGGCTCTACTACCCTGAGACCAGAAGAACTAGATGGTGCCTGGCTACCTCAGCTGACTACTCTGATCAGGATCACAATAGAAGTTCCAGGACAGATTGGGAGAAAACAAAATTTAAAATCATAAAAAAGACCAGATTCACTGGGCTGATAGAGACTGGTGGAACCCCCAAGACAATAGCTCTTAGACATTTTACCAACCTGGGGAACTGAATCCACCTCTGGGGATCACCTTTTGGTCAAACAATAGACCTATAAAGTGATACCCATGAGGAACATTCTTCTCAGAACAATCAAAACATATGAGACCAAAAGAGCAACATTTGCACAAAAACAAAGCTCAGACAATAGCAGGAAGGGTCAGAAAAGAAGGATGAATGGAAATGGAATCTAGGGAGGAAGTGGGAAGGTGCTGTTACTAATGTCACAAAACAAAAAATATATATCAGTTGTTGAATGGAAAATTAATTTGTTCTATAACTTGCACCAAACCACAATAAATAAAAGAAAAAAAAAAGGAAAAAATTTAAGGCGGTTTAAATGAGGAGGGTTTTGTTTTGTTTTAGGTATTTCATAGGGATCCTTGGTAATTGCTTTATATCCATAAGGATGGAAGCAGGGGAGCTGAGAATTTATTTTTCTGTGTGCTAAGTATTGGAACAGGCTACAGAGAAAAGTATGTAGTCGTAGAGCTTACACATTTATATATCTGTGGGAAATGAGAAGGAGGCAGAAAGGATATGTTTGAACTCTGATGTATTTGGTATCATGTAAACATCAATAACTTAAGTAAACCTGTGGTGGTTTTATTTGGCTATTAAAGTCATAGCATGATTTCTGGTGGCCTTTTGCTTGTGGATTTACAGAAAAAATGATGTAAGTAAGGTCTCTGTGTGTGTGTGTGTAAAATAACTTAATCATTCACACTGAGGCAGCTTTTTAAATGTTGGCCCTTATTTGAATTTCCTGAAAAGATACTACTTTCATGTGTTTTTTTTTTTTAAAAAAGTATATTAGGATAAAACAAAACCAAACTCGCTGCCATTGAGTCACGTTGGACTCATAGCAACCCTTCCTTGGGTTTCTGAGGTGATATCACTACAGAAGTAGATTGCCCAACCTTTCTTCCGAGGAGTGGCTGGTGGGTTTGAACCTCCAGCCTTCTGGTTAGCAGTCACATACCTTAGGTACTATGCTATCAGAACTCCCATATAAGGATATGCAATGTAAAATCTCTCCTATCCCTGTCTCTAAGCCCTCTAAGTTCTCCTACACTCTAATTGGTCCTAAATTCTTAACTTATTCTAACAGAGAACTTTCATGCATATTCAAGGCACCCTAGTTTAAGGGGCCCTAGTGGCAATCCTTTTTTTTAGGAAAGTAATAATATTGGATGTATTTTTCTATGCTCAGCTCTTCCCATACTCTACATACACATAGAAAAATGCACGTTGGAGATCTTTACACTCACCTGGAACTTCAGTTTTCATTTAACAGCCATATGACATTTTTCTGTTTCATGAATGTTTTGTATTTAATCAATCCCTTACTAATTTATCTACTTTTAGAAGAAAAATTGAGTTCTAAACACATAATACTTCATATATGGACCATATTTACATAGTCATAATACTGCACGCAAGTAAGATCTTACTGAAGATAATTCAGAAACGTTTGCAGCAGTATATTGACAGAGAACTTCCAGAGGTTCAAGCCGGATTCAGAAGAGGACGTGGAACAAGGGATATCATAGCTGTTGTCAGATGGATCTTGGCTCAAGGCAAAGAATACCAGAAAGATGTTTACTTGTGTTTTATTGACTATGCAAAGGCATTTGATTGTGTGGATCATGACAAATTATGGATAACATTGAGAAGAATGGGAATTCCCGAGCACTTGATTGTACTCATGAGGAATCTGTACCTTGACCAGGAGGCTTTCGTTCGAACAGAACAAGGGGACACTATATGGTTTAAAATCAAGAAGGGAGTGCATCAGGGTTGTATCCTTTCTCCACACTTATTCAATCTATATGCTGAGCAAATAATCCGAGAAGCTGGACTATATGAAGAAAAACGTGGTATCAGGATTGGAGGAAGAATCATTAGCAACCTGAGATATGCAGACGATACAACTTTGCTTGCTGAAAGTGAGGATGACTTAAGGCACCTACTGATGAAGGTTGAAGAATACAGTGTGCAGTATGGATTACGTCTCAATATAAAGAAAACAAAAATCCTCACAACTGGACCAATGAGCAGCCTCACAATAAATGGAGAGAAGATTGAGGTTGTCAAGGAATTCACGTTGCTTGGTTCTACAATCGATGCCAACGGAAGCAGCAGTCAGGACATTAGACGATGTGTAGCATTGGGAAAGTCAACTGCGAAGGAAGTGTATCAAGTGCTGAGGAGCAAGGATATCTCCTTGAGGACTGAGGTGCACCTGACACAAGCCATGATATTTCCAATCGCCTGGTATGCATGTGAGAGCTGGACAATTAATAAGGAAGACCGAAGAAGAGTTGATGCTTTTGAGTTGTGCTGGCGAAGAATGTTGAAAGTCCCATGGACTGCTAAAAGAACTAACATCTGTCCTGGAGGAAGTGCAGCCAGAATGCTCCTTGGAAGCAAGAATGGCCAGACTTCGTCTCACCTATTTTGGTCATGTTGTAAGAACGGATCATTCCCTGGAGAAGGATGTCATGCTTAGTAGGGTGGAGGGTCAACGAAAGAGGGGGCCTTCAATGAGATGGATTGACACGGTGGCTGCAATGATGGGCTCAAGTATAACAGGGATTGTGGGGCTGGCGCGGGATCGGGCAGTGTTTCATTCTGCTGGGCATGGGGTGGCTATGAGTCGGAAATGACTCGACGGCACTTAACAACAACAACAACAATTTACATATTCAAGTATTTTTACATTCAAGTGGTATTTTCCCCAGCCTTTTTGTGGATGACCTCTCCTTACTTAAGTTCTTAACACAGATATCACCTTCCTGTTGTCTGTGACCCCTGATCTAAAGAGCCTACTGAGGACTTAGGCTTAGCACTTCTTGATTTTAATTGCTCTGCACAGCAGCATCACCATGGAACATTGTTTTGTTTACTAGTTCCTTTATCCTTTTATCCCCACACAAACTCCCTGGGCCCAGAGTATGGTCTCATTTGTTTTCTACACTATCTGGAATACCTGGAAGTTGTACTTGGTATAACATAAGTACCCTAAATCTTTGTTAGATGGAAGTTGGTGTTTTTATACTGTCAAATAAAAACAAACACAGACTTTAGTAGGGGAAGCTTTATTCAGGAAGAAAAGGAAGAGTGAGAAAGGGATCATCATAGTAGTGGGAGAAGGGAACTATACCTGGACCATACTGTCTCCAGGCTTCTCAAAGATTTAGGAAAAATGTGTTTTTCTTTTATAGAGATTGAGGATAGTAAACAAGGATAGGAAAAAAAAAATGTAGGAAAGTAGGATGAGCAGTGGTATCAGATATTAAATCTGAGGGCAGCCTATTCTCCAGGCGGGGCTTCTAAAGACAGGTTTCATGTTAGCTGAAGGAGCTCTGATGGTGTAGTGGTTAAGGCATTTGGCTGCTAACCAAAAGATCTGTGATTAGAACCTACCAGCCGCTCTATGGAAGAAAGAAGAGGCAGTTTGCTTCCATAAAGCTTTACAGCCTTGAAAACCCAATGAGGGTTGCTATGAGTTGGAATCAACTTAATGGCAGTGAATTTGGTTTTTGGTTTGTGTTAGCTTAGGGTGGTGGGGCCATAGTTGAGGGACTTAAGGAACCTTCACCAAAGTTTGGTTAACAAGCGCTTTGTTTCTGATTGGTCAGTGGGGACAAGCGATTCAGTTACTCATTTATTTAAGGAATGGGAATTTGGAGAGTATGTGTCTGGCCATGTCATGGGTAAATAAATGGTGTCTGTGAGTCTTATCTCAAGTCTAGTCTAAAGGAAAGATGGTTATTTACAGCATGCTATTTCCTGAATGCACAGGTTGAGAGGCTTTCTTTAACCATCACTGTTTTCTAGTATCACAGAGCTCAGTAAAATTCATTATTAACAATACTGTTATGTTTTTCAATAATGGTAGAGAAATTCACGTTTTGTCCTTTGAAAAAGTGAATGATATATAATGTTTTACTTTTCATGTCTGTTTTCTGTTTAGCCCCATGTGCTGTCAGGAACCTACAGGACTTGGCTCGCATTTACATCCGCCGAACACTTAGGAATTTCATCAATGATGAGATGCAAGCCAAGGGGCTTCCTCCAAGGGCTCCCCCAAAAAGGAAAAGAAAGAGAGTTAAACAGAGAATTAACACATATGTGTTTGTGGGTAATCAGCTCATTCCTCAGCCTCTAGACAGTGAGGAGGATGAAAAAATGGAAGAAGATAACAAAGAAGAGGAGGAGAAAGATCACAGTGAAGCCTTCAAACCAGAAGAGCCTCCTCAAAATCTACTGAGAGAAAAAATCATGAAGTTGCCCCTCCCTGAATCTTTAAAAGCTTATTTGACATATTTTAGAGAAAAATAACACGCCAAGAAAAAAGAATGCCTACTGATAGTTCCTCTAGTCTTGAAGATGTAGCATTTGTTAGGAATTTAAAGAGACTGTTTCTTTCATCAGAGCAAATTTTAGTGGAAAAAGGTCTAACTTGTTTATGTCTTAGTAACAAAAATGATGTATTCAGTGATTTAAAATAATCCCTTTTATAAAATCTATTTTTCTTTAAATCTTGGAAAATGCTGTCTTAACTTAGAATGATTTCAAAGTGGAATGCAATACGCAAGACTTTGTGCACTGTAAATCTTTTTCTGATTCCCTACAGATTTGTAGTGGTGAGGGTTAGATCTAATTTTATATGAGATTAAATAATTGTTAAGCATACATCATGATCTGATTTGAATTGTAGTTGTTTGCATTTCCTTTAGGAAGACTTTCTTATCTAATAAGGAAATCAAATACTTTTTAGACCTGTTTACCTTAATTTTGTTGCAATCACTATTGCTGAGTTGCTAATAGTTATATTCCGGGCAATATATGAGTGCAATAACAATACAGATATTGAATAATTTATCTTTAAAAAAAGAAAAAAAGTTTCATGGAATTCAACTGCCCTGCTACTTTTGCTTTTGAACCTATTGCCAAAAGATACGGGGAAAATAACTGCTTCTCTCATAGAGATTTTAAGAGCACATCAAGTGAATATTAAAGTACATACTTAATATGGCTCTTGATTTATATGGACCCTTTACATTTTCAGTATTTATAAATGATGAAATTATCTTAATCTCTGGAGTTTTAAAAGATGGTATATTTAGGATTGTTTTTTCTATAGTCCACTGTGTGAAGTGTTGAGTGTAAGAAGCACCCATCGTTCTATGTTACTCTCTTACTAGCACAGACCGAGAATGGGCGGCATGAGAGGCTGCCACTTTTGTGGACAGCTCTAAGTATTAGGCCCAGCGGATTTGTTCAGCAGATATACTTTAGCAAATGGAACTTCTGTTTCATCTGAATATTTATCTTTGACAAGGTAGGACTGAGCTGATCACCATTTGTTTTGGATTTCATCTTTTTAGTATAAGTACCATTCACAGGAGTTGTATATAGATGTCTTTTGCTTTGAAAATTGGTTCAGAATCATAGTGTAATCTTTGGGACCTACATTGTGTTCATTTAACTTTCTCCCATGTTTTCTTAAGTTTCTTTTGGTAAGATTATAATGGTTTTCATTTTATGCTTAATATCACGTATTTAAACTATCCATTGTTTGAATTTTAGTTGTAGCTTATGAATAAAACAAGTAGTAAAATGCCATTGTTAGTTTGCTTTTTTTTGTTGTTGTTTTTTCTGGGTAGGGTCTGGAAACAGTCATTCCTTGTGAAGAAAATATACACTATAACATATATAATACTTAGAGTTTCATGGAATATATATATTTTAAAAGGAAAACTGAGAATATCACTTATTACCACCAGCATCACTATTACAATGGCTGATCAGATTTGCTTAAGGAAACCCAATCTATAGTGAAATGATTGTTATATCTGTTAAATTTAATGTATTGGTAATACATAGATGATTTTAAAGCTTCCAACTCTAGTAATTCTACACATATAAAAGCAAATATTTGATGTATTCTAAGCATCAACTGTTCCAAGCAAATGATATTTTAGTAATGTGAAAAATAATTTCATGGAAGATATTTTGTACCATTGCCGAGGAGTACAAAAAGATCTCCATAAATCTTTCAGTTGATTAATAAGCCATTATTTTTAAGAAACATCCCAACTCATTTCTACTGAGAAAAGAAAAAGTAGTTGGTTTCAATTTTTTCTAATGGTCATCTGTTAGAAATGTTCATTTTATTTTAATTTAAAAGTTTTGAAAGTTTAGTCTTGAATTGCTATTGCTGAGGAGACTTAAAATTTTACCTGTCCTTCCTCCCTTTTTTGTGTTGGAAATGGTATCCAGATACATAAAGTACATATTCTTAAATGATGACTTTACTGTTCAGGAGTTTTTATTAAGGATCTGTTTGAAGATTGACTTTTTCATATTATCATTCATTCTGTTGACCTTGGCAAAATGTATAGTAGATGTTAATGATCATTGCATATTTTTTGTCATTGAAATGTATCTTTTGTGTTTTTAAATGCATTCATTTTACAGTTGTGACTTCATTATTGACTTTAAATAAAGACGTGAAAATGCAAATTCAAGTGAAAACCCTTTTATCTATTAATGACTATATACTAGAAAAAAACTCTTGGGCCTGTGTTTAATTTTGAATGATTCTATGTTTGCTTGAGCATGGGAAATTATGACTCATAGATAGAAAAATAGCAAAGAAAGATGAAGTAAAATTAAGTGAAAATGATGGGAAATAAAGTTTTGAGTTTTATAGCTAGGTAAAACAGTAGAAATCATCTAATCTAGGTCTTTATTTTGCAGATGAGACAGTAGGCCTAGAGAGTTACATGGTTTGCCCAAGTCATACAGGATCTGAAATAGCAGATCCCAAGGATCTGTCAGTGACACCATAGCTACTAACAAGAAAGTTAACTTTAATTAATCCTGCTTACTGGTTGAGATATCTGGTCCTAGTATTAATAATGAGAAATTGCGTATATACGGGTTAAAAATAAAATACAAAAAGTCTAAATGTTGCTTTTTAATAAAGGCTGTTATATCCTGGGATGCCTTGAAAAATAAACAGCTGCATGTAATTAAGCATCTTTCTCCAATGTCCATTTCTTTTTTATTTAATTAAGGTAGTCTTAGTCCACCTAGAAGTATATACTGAATTTTGGTACACAGTCCTTACTTGGGCATCTCATTTCCTTTTCACTATTAACATCTCTTAAATGTGTTAGGTTTTCTTTAAAATAAAATTTAGTAGATACAAAAGGATATTTATATAAACTATGTAAAACCCAAAGATACTGAGTTGATTGTGACTCTTAGTAACCCCCTTAGAGTTTCCAAGGTGGTAAATCTTTATGGAAGTAGACTGCCCCATCTTCCTTCTGCACAGTGGCTGGTGGGTTTGAACCACCAGTCTTCTGGTTAGTAGTCAAATGTCTTAGTCACTGTGCCACTAGAGCTCTTGTATGAACTATATATGAAGTACAAAGAGTAAGAGTGCCATGTACATGTAGGTGTATATACATGGATATGTACCCACTACTAGGTTTGAAGGAAAATAGCATTACCATGATCTATGTGCCTCTTACCCCAATGTCACCTCAGTCCTTCCCTTTTTCAGATAACCCTTCTGTTTTTACCATTACCTTGCTTTAGTTTTACCACATGCATTTATATATCTAAGCAATGTTATTTGGCTTTATACATGTTTAACTTTGTATAAGTAAGATATTACTGTATGCACTCTTCTGCAATTCTGTTTCTCATTTCACATTACCTTTCTGAGATTGGGTCACATTGTGTATGTTACCTTCACTGATAAAACATATCATACTGTAACTAGTGATTCTGCTGGTGATGGCCATTTGTTGTTCCTTCTAAAAGGTCAGCTTCACCGATCTATCTCATATACCTATGCTAGATCTTCCTAGATTGTATATGTAGTGGTAGAATTACTGGGTCATAAAATATGTTTGTATTCAACTTTACTACATGGTACAAAATTGTTTCCCAAAATAGTATAACAATATATATTCCTTCCAACAATGTTTTAATGGTCTCATTATTCCACATCCACATCTAAACTTGATGATGGTAGTGATTTTTGCCAATTTGGGAGTATGAAATGATATAGGGGCTTTGTTACTTATTAAGCAGATTTTTTAAATCTTTTCAAGTGTTTTCTTGTTTTTTGGATTTCTTTTGTGTAAATTGCCCATTCACGTCTTTTATCGTTAACATTTCCATTTGTGTCTCACATTAATTACAGTTGAACCAATACTGACATATTATTATTAACTAAAGTTCATAGTTTACATGAGGGTTCATTCCTCATGTTGTACAGGCCCATGGGTTTTGACAAATCCATGATTTCATGTATCCACCATTACGATATCAAACCAAATAGTTTCACTGACCCTAAAATGTCCTATTCTCCACATATTCATCCTTCCCCAACCCCTATGTAACCCTTGGAAGCAACTCATTTTCATGACCTTTATGGTTTTCCCTTTTCTAGAATGTCATATAGTCAGAATCATACAGTATGTAATCTTTTCAGACTGGCTTCTTCTATTTAATAAGTATTTAAGGTTCCTCTATATGTTTTTGTGACTTGATACTGAACCAAACCAAACTCGCTGCCATCGAGTCAATTCCAACTCATAGTGGACCCCCATTGGGTTTCCTAGGTGGTAAATCTTCATGAAAATAGATTGCCCTATCTTCCTTCCATAGAGTGGCTGGTGGGTTTGAACCTCCAACCTTCAGGTTAGCAGCCAAATGTGTTAGGCACTATGCCACCATTCCAAACAATACTGTTTTGATATATATCAGTTTGTTTAGTCAGTGACCCCTAAGAGACATCTTGGCTACTTCTAGTTTGGAGTAGTTATAAATAAGGCTGCTGTAAAAGTTTATGTAAAGGTTTTTATGTAGACATGTTTTCAGTAAATTTGGATGAGTATTAAGAAGGGTGATTGCTTCATCACATGGTAAGTTTCTACCACTCGTTTGTCAGTTTGTGTGTTGCTGTGAGACTGGGGGTTATGCCACCAGTATTTCAGATACCAGCAGGGTCACAAGTTTCAATAGAGCTTCCAAGACTAAGACAGACTCGGAAGAAGGAAGGCGCCATCCACTTCTCAAAGTATTGGCCACTGTAAACCTTATGAATAGCACTGAAACACTGTCTGATATATTATTGGAAAACTTTATGAATAGTCCTAAAACATTGTCTGTTACTGTGTTGGAAAGATGAGCCACTCAAGTCGGAAGGCATTCAAAGTAATGACTGGGGAAGAGCTGCCTCCTCAAAGTAGAGTTGACCTTAAGGACATGGGTGAAGTAAAGCTTTCTGGACCCCCATTTGCTGATACAGCATGACTCAAAATGGAAAGAAACAGCTGCAAAATCCATTAATAATCAGAACATGGAATGTATGAGGTATGAATCTAGGAAAATTGGAAGTTGTCAAAAATGAAATGGAACACGTACAGATTGATATCCTAGGCATTAGCTGAAATGGACTGGTTTTAGCCATTTTGAATCAGGCAATCTTGCGATCTATGCCGGAAATGACAAATTGA